TTTGACATCATTCTGAAGAATGATTAATTAGCATTTGTTCATTTGAGCTCAATTCAAATGAAGCAAAGAGTAGCTTTGAATGAAACACTTAAGTTGTCTAATTTGACGAGTATTCACTTGATCTGATTACACTAAAATGTTACTCAGTCTTTGTCTTGCATGGAGATAAATTCCCTGCAACTGAATAAATAAGGATAATGTGATGTACCTGAAGTGAAATATATATAATTTAAATTCAGTTTTTCTCAAAGTTGGCACCAGTGATGAGCACAGTATGTCATATTATAAATTCAAAGCTAACCAATTCTGTAAACACCAAAAAATATTCAATGGCTTTTCAACTGGTGTTTCTTCTTGCAAGAAACCCATAAAAAGACCCTGAAGATTCAGTACAGTGTTGTTTGGTGTGATGCACAGTAACATCCCTAAGGAACTTTCTTACAAACTGGTGTGAGATTTAGGTAAATGCTGAATCCTTATGTATGATTTTTGACAAATCAGTTGATCAAAATAGAAATCAAAACAGATGGCTCTCGAAAGTGCTTCATCTAACTTGCTTCTCAATTTGTTTTGTTTCCAACTTGACTTGCTTCCAACTTGACTTTTTGATGTGTCCCTCAAAGTACTACATTTTACTTTTGAAGAAAGTCACCTACTCAATTCTATTTTGGAGATGCCTTCTTTGCCCACATACATTCACAACTAGTGAGCAAATGGATAAAGACTTCAAGATAGAACTGATGACTCCTGGGTCTCATGTTTGGACCAAACGAGCGCGGTCCGAAACCTTAGAGTTTTGCTGGTCCTCAGTAACCAGACTGAACACTTTGATGGATTCAGTGTCAAATGCATAGCACATCAACCAGTTCAGAGTTACATTCTGCCAATGGTACTAATGCTAAAGTAAGAAATAATGAGTTGGCTCTATACTGTTAGGTAAATGCTGATATTGGTTCAGATTGTAATTCCGAGATTACTGGACCAATCTTTACAATTTTGGGAAGGTTATGCTGTTGGCAAAGCTGTAAAATAGGATGTAATTTTTGGTATTTTCCAAATCACATCTGAATACTTAGCTATATCCCCAGATAATGAGCATTACATGTAGGCAGGAGCAGATTGTGGCAGCTAAACCAGGTTTAATATATGGAATATGTTCTTCTGTCTGTTGTAATGTGTTCTTGTGAGAATCCAAACAAACCTTTTTACAATCCCTGTATCCATGTGGCATTCAGACCTAAAGTCTATGTATGTTAAATGATTGTGTTTGAATAATTAACATTGTGCCCAGTTTAAGAAGTGAATAAGTTGTTAGATGGAATAAATGCTCCACATTTTTAACCATTTTATAGATATTTTTAGTCAACCTGTTCAGATATATTATGACACATCTCTGCAGCAGGTGAGACTTGAACCTCGGCCTACCACTGCACTACCATGCATCACAAGAGCCCTTAAGCATTTTATAACTTATTTGAAATTAAGCATTTTGAACTGAGTGGAATCAAATAGCTCAAATGAGGAATGACAGTAATCTGCAGTGTATGCTACTGATCCCAGGACTCTTGTGGTACAGCAGTAGTGTCCCTCCCTCCAAGCCAGAAGGCCCTGGTTCAAGTCCCAACTGCTTCAGAGGTTGTCATAACACATCTGTACAGTTTGCTTAAAAGTATCTGCTCTACTGATCCCATAATGTTCAATGCATTGCTAAGGTTGTTTAGTAGTTTATTCAATCGCTGTTTAACTTTCTCCTCACCTGATCAGGACATAAACTGCTATAAAAAGAATGGTAGCACTTTCATTTCAGTTATTGCATTTGACTAACAACCGTGCCCCAGTGGTGAACTATTTAAAGTGCTAGTTAACCTGTTAATCTTCCCTAAGAACAATTTAGCCGCCTATTAATAATACTGCTAATTTGCACTTGAAGTATGAATAATATTACAACTGTGACAGTTAACTTTCAACAATGAGAAACTGCTATTAAAATGTTCAGCATAACTAATAACTCATGACAGTAGTAGTAGATGGCTTTGGAACGAAGAGTTTGATTGTTTTCAATGATTGAAAAATATAGGCACTGAGTGATTTTAAAATGGGTGAATATATCCAACCTACTTGTAACATTTTAAGTAGGATTATAAGCAGGTAGATATGCAAATAAGCGCATGATTGCACTGCACTGCAAATAGTTCTGATTTACATTCACATCTCCCTCGTGTCTATTTGGGATAATCTTTGTAATCCTGATTTTCCCTTTGTTAGCACCTCTGGTTATATTCTTGATGCTTGTTTGTCTTCATTGATTTCAAGGATATTCCTTTCAGGTCTTTTGAAAATACCTCCTTGATTGTTTCTTTCTTTTTGTCCTGTTGACAGCAGCCTTTGGCTGTAATAGTCACACCACCGCTATCAAACACCATATGTTTGAAAGAGAGGAAACTGATGTAAATGAAATTCACACGAGCTCAGCTTTAAGTAGTAGCAACACTGCCACCATTTGCATCTCCATATCCTGTTGATGGCTTAATAAGATCTTTCAAGCTGCTCACATTTATGGGTCTTTTGGTGCAGTGCTAATGTCCTTTATATCTGGGCCAGAAGGCCCAGGTTCAAGTTCCACCAATCCTGAGGCATGTCTTAACACGTCTGAACAAGTTGACTTAAAAGTGTTTGAGAGGATCTTGCATCACTTTGGTAGTGTCCCTACTTCTGGACCAGAACATCCAGAGGTGTTTCATAACACATTGAAGGGTTGACAACACATTTTTCATTTAAGTTTAGCAACTTGGGGATCGGTATATGCTCAGTTTCAAACTAAGCTGTTTAATTCTGGTAAATCATATCGTAAAACTTGTATCTCATTCTGTAAGTTGTAACTACTGAAAGATTGACAATGCTAAACTAAATAATTAAACCCATATGCAACATTAAGCAGTTCAATACATAATGATCAGTAAGTATTTATCCCAAAAATATTTCATTGTCAAGGATGTCAGATTAGCAAATATTAATTTACATAAAAATACTGAGTAGTTTGGGAAATTTGCTGTTCATGGATGGTAATGCCACTTCTCAGTTTTTAAAAATTATTATTGACTGCTGGATACCTTCTTTAGTTGACCTATTCATAAAAATGGCGGAAGTGATTACTATCTGGCACCAGCCTTTCGTGCTTTGTCGTGACTGTTTAGGTAGCCACAATTTGACTAACTCGTATTGAACTGTTAGATTGAGGCTAGTTATGTGAATGATTGATTGAAGTCCTGCCCATACTTTAGGCCTGTGGTTAACATCCATTTCCGTTAGACAATGCAGCAGCAACAACAGTTAAAACTGAAAAGATCACGCTACATGATGGTCAGCTACCTTCAATACTTAACTTAGTCAACCTTCTGCTAACTGATTACAAAAATGGATTTTAGGAGCAGGAGGAGGCTGTTCACTCTTTTGACTTGACTCACTTTGATTTACTCCATCATTTGATAAGTTCATGACTGATCTGATGGTGGTCTCAACCCTGCTTTCTTGTAGTGATTGTGTGGCCACCAAAAAGTTACCAAACTTTTAAACCTGGAGGAAGAAAGCAATGTTCTGTTGCCAGTCTCTTTCTCGTCCAGATTGAAACAAGGTGGATGGTTGGAGAAGATAATGAAGGGAGAAAACCTGGCACTGGGAGGCGTAGCCATTGAAGATTAAACAGAAATATGAAGTAGATGCAACATAACTTTTTTTTGTGAAACCCATTGTAAGGCAGCATAAAGTGGAGCAATGTTCTGTAGCTCCCTCTTCTTCTGTGTTGCAACTTCAAAGATATTTGAAAAGATGCCAAGCCACCACGTTCTACTGACTTGTGAAAGAAAAATTAAAAATGTTTTAAGGGAAAAGATTTGGGGGCTCTGGGGAATGTGCTGCATTCTATAAAAGCTTACATGCAATACTTTGAGCTGTGAAAAACAAGGACAAAGTATTTGAGCTGGAAATATCTTATTTTTGAGAAACTGCTGTAATCGTTGCAACATTATCATTGAAGTGAATTGCACAATTGACCTACATCCTTAAAGGGCTGTTTGTAATTTTTTTTATTTAGAGCAGCATACAAAATCAAAACTTAATGGTTTCCATAAAACCACAAACATCTCAAGCACCTTGGTTATGAGCATAATCGAGGTCTCATCTGCACGAATATTGGGAATTTCCAGCCTCTCCAAATGGCCATTAAAGTAAATGTGAAAAGATACTATCTGTAATTTCTGGGCTCTCAATGAAATGAAAACATGCTTCTCTGCTCTCCATTCCTGAGGTTTGGTTCTGAATGCACAACCACATGATAGAGTTGGGTTCAGTGCATGGAAAGGAAGTCCAGCGTTTGGAGCAATGAATCTTGAATTGTATTAAAAATGAGGAGAGAAGCACTTCTTTCTTCCTCTGCTGGTTGTATACATTTTTTGCCACTGTTGCAAGTTTTTATCCATTTCACGCCAATTTTACCCGATCCTGATGGTTGTCTGTTGCAATCAGAATGGGTTTCATTTATTTTACCTTCAGCAGAGTGAATGTATGACTTCACAGTTGTACAGATGCACAATATTTCACTGCACTCAGTTGGGATGGTGATCAGCTATTTCTACTACCAATGCTTTTAATTGGAACAAATTAGAATAAACATGTAATGTTTTAGACAAGTTTAGTACTTGTTGAAAATTATAGAACTTTCAACAATACTACCTTGACACTTGCCTACAATGAATGGCAGGATACGCTTGATGGACTGAATGGTCTACACCTCTTCCTATACACTTGTACAAAGTGTGATCTGTAAATCTATATGTTGCTGTTAAATTGCTAATTGTTATAGCAACCGAGTGTTCAAAAAGTATGGGTGAATGTAAGAGTAGTGACCCAGTAGTTCTAAATGTGATTGTCGTCTTCCTAGTTTCAGATTGAAACCATGTTACCCATAGACAGCAGCTAATGATATGAATGATTTTTGCTCGCAGGGGAAAATTTGCTGTTGTCAAGAAATGTATGGAAAATGCTTCTGGAAAGGAATATGCTGCCAAGTTCTTACGGAAGCGAAGGAAAGGACAGGATTGCCGCATGGATATCATTAACGAGATCGCAATTCTTGAGATGGCAAAAAGCAACTCTCATGTGGTAGACTTGCATGAAGTGTACGAGACAACTTCAGAAATCATCTTAGTGCTGGAATAGTAAGTACGCTGTTGGGATATTCTCCTTGTCTGCTGGTGTGAAATGTTTGAGTGTTTTCTGTTCTGTGATATACTCAATCTCCAATCTCACAATGTGAGATTTCAACACTTGCTGTGGTGTATGGAACTCCTGGTACAAAATAATGCAAGTATTAACAGTTTTGCTTATGATCACATAAAGCATGATCTCTGCAAAAATGTAAAAATGACGAGTGTAAAATCCTTTTATTAGGCCGATGAGTCGCCGATGTGTATTGTTCTCCATAATCAGCAATTTATGGACATTTTATCATTTGATGAATACATGATACATATTTCTGATAATGGTGATGCGGTTGATTAATGTAGAAGGGAAATACCCTCTGTGCTTCACTTTGAAGATTCTGTTAGCTTGGCATTTCCACAAGGCTGCTAAAATGCTTGTGATAGCAAAATCTAATGGAGCACTTGAAGTGGCATTGCATTCAAAACTGCTAGGGTCATTCATCAATCCTCTTGCATACACTTTTAGGAAAATCTTTTCCCATCTGAGAATCAGAAGGCAGTCAGTTTAAATTATTACTCCACCACTTGACCATATGATCTAACCTGATACCCAAATGTGTATTGACAACAATGATGTGTTGTGGGAAGTGCTGCCATTTCAGTGAATTGTTTAAGCCAAAGCCCATTTTGCCTGTGCTCGTGTTTAAGAGCAGCTGGGAGTTTTCCCAGTATTCTGACCGCCATTAATGTTTTCATTTAGAACAGGTTGGATGATTGTTTCTTTCTTTACCCACCAGTATTAACTATGTAACAAAAGTACATAAACTTCAGAAGTAATTCAATGGTTGCTAAATTCGCCAAAGCCTGTTTTAAAGCAACCTCCAAACCCACAAGCTGTACCATTTAGCAGGGATGAGAGCGTGAGGACACCACTACATTCTCTCCAACCTACACACTGTCCTGACGTGGAACAGTACGGCTGCCATCCCTTCACTTGCTGGGTCAAAATCCTGGAAATCCATTCATAAGAACATAAGAACTAGGAGCAGGAGTAGGCCGTCTGGCCCTTCGAGCCTGCTCCGCCATTCAATAAGATCATGGCTGATCCTTTCGTGGACTCAGATCCACTTACCCGCATTCTCACCGTATCCCTTAATGCCTTTATTGTTCAAAAAAAATCTACCTTTTTCTTAAAAACATTTACTGAAGTAGCGTCAACTACTTCACTGGGCAAGGAATTCCATAGATTAACAACCCTCTGGGTGAAGAAATTCCTTCTCAATTCAGTCCTAAATCTGCTCCCTCTAATCTTGAGGCTATGCCGTCTTGTCCTAGCTTCACCTGCCAGTGGAAACATCCTCTCTACTTCTATCTTATCTATTCCCTTCATAATTTTATATGCTTTTATAAGATCCCCCCCTCAATCTTCTGAATTCCAATGAATATAATCCCAATCTACTCAGTCTCTCCTCATAAGCCAACCCCCTCAACTCCGGAATCAACAACATTGTGATGTACCTACAGCAAGTGGCCTGCAACTATTCAAGAAGCTGGCCGAGTACGTGCGCCTGAAAGGCAATGAGAGATGGGAAATAAATGCTGGCCACATACGATGAAAGAATAAAAATATTTTGAGATAAAATAATGATGTATAGGTACTGCAAAAATGCAAGTCCTATAATTCTTTGACTATAAAATAATTTTAGCCTAATTTGCCCTTACTCTGGAAGTTTCCAGATAAGACAGATCTGAGAAGTGAAACATTCGCAACTGAATTCACTTCAGGATTTAACAAGTTCTTTAAGGAAGGGAAAAAACAATATATCTAAAATCTGGCCATGATGGCACTTGCTGAGAACTTCAGGAACTTGGAGCAACATTTGCCAGCACTTATGAGATTTATAAGTCAAAGACTTTGCAATGTGATGGGTGACACATTCTGTTGGCAGTCATGCGCATCACAGAATTATTTCAAGTTCCAAAATAGATGACATTGCCAAAGATTGAGAAAAATAGTGATATTAACAGCTTTTTAAAATCCAGTCACCACAAAACGTGTTTTATTCTCAGTTGGCCTTTCTTAAGCTGCCCACCAGCTCTTTGGGTTAATCCAACATTGTTACTTTGTACTAACATTTAGGAGCTACAAGAAAATTGGGGCATCCACAGTATAGCAGGCAAAGTTCCTAATCAACAAAACCATGTCCCCTTAATGACAAACAGAGTGGTTGCTGTTATCTACTAATATGTAAAACATATAGTGAAATAAATTTTTGCCTTCACCTGCTGGAAAGTAATGTAACAGGATCAATATCAGTTCATTATAAAGTATCCATCATTGAAACCAGTGAGGAAAAACTAGGTCAGGACAGATGATCCAGCATTTGCTGGCCAGGCACTGAAGACAAACATCTAAACCAGTGAGTTTAAGATGCTGGATTTTGCAGAGAGCAAAAAAAGTCAACTCTTAGTGTCCTGAGTATCCAATGGTGTTGGAGTTGAATAAAAACCTTCAGTCTACTTTGGATGTTATTCAGAAATAATTGGTATTTCTTGCCTCTAAGTGCTTATTTTCTATTTCACTAAGATATTGCTTGGACTTTTTTAGCCATTAAAATGCAAAAATATAGGATTAAGAGAGGCTTATGAGAACTTGAATATTAATTACTTGAAACAGCTGTAGCTTGCACGCAATTCCTGTTGCAAAAGCAGACAGAATTGTAAAGCCACATCCTCAGTCTGACTTTATTGGTCAGACTATCTCCGGTAACTGTCAACAGATGATTATAAATGATACAGACTGCAAATTACACAGGTTGTTGTCCGTATATGGTTATGTGAAGTGATACTAACTTAATGTTGGTCCTTAACTAGGATTATGGGGGTTTCTCATGTACGGCTAGGAGAAAAATGGTACAACATTTGTAAGCTATGACTGAGCTGGGCAATGTTGAAATAAGCTGGTTATAACCTGCCTTGGCTGATATTCCCAGACAACACTTCACCATTATAGGATCATGTACATGGATTAAAACATTAAAGGAAAATATTTAGAATTCAAGGCCCTCTGGGTGTAACAACAAAATCACTAGCTCCTGATGGCAAAATGTAGATTGGATGGGCGGCCAGCAGTAAATCCAAGGGAAAAGAAGGTGCAGACAATGATGCATGGGTGGGATGGATGTTGCTAGGGAGAGGACATGATGTTGGTTGTATAGGATGCAGGGATCCTGTGTAACACAAAGGTTGGGTAACTGACTCTGATCAACCAATAATCCAGTAGTTCAAGTCTTTTACACTGAAATGTGAGGTAACTGTATACTATCAATTCAGTCTATAGATTGTGAGCCATTTTTGCTTTCAATAGGAACCTCCCTCTCAACTTCTGAATTTGAAGATTCAAATATGGAAATAGCCATTTTTTAATATACTGAAAATGTTAATGTAAAAACAAAGTGGCTTCATTGTATCCATTTGCTACGTTGAATTTTTTTTAAGCTTCTTCTCAATATCATAGTTTTTCTCTTGAAAGCTCACTCTGCAGCACAGTTTCACATGTTCTGACTTTGCACTACCTCGGTCAAGTGGCCATTCTCAACAGATCATCTTAGGGAGTAAACTAAACGATTTCAGAAATTAAAACCAAATCTTACCCTTCACTCACCTAGCCTAAGTGCAGCTTTCAATGGCATTCACTTGATAGCCATCATTTGGTAGGACCTTTGCACACAGTAGATTTCTTACTGCCTGAAGTCATTTGATTAAATTTTAACCAAGAATTAAACCAGGAGCCATAAAGCGTAGGATCTGAAGCAGGCCATTCAGCTCACCAAGGCTGCTCTGCCATTCACTGAGATCATGGCTGATCAGATAACTCTCAATTCTACTTTCCTGTCTTATCCCTATAACCTTTATTCTCTTGCTGAATAAAACTTTGTCTATCTCAGCTTTAAATTTACTTAATGACCCAGCCTCAACAGTCCTCAAACTTCCTGGTCTTTATTCCTAGTCTTTATCTACATTAGTCGGTGTGCTTATGAATGGGTGGCTAGGGCAGCTAAAGGATTATTTCTAGAATTTCTAGAATTATTCAAGACCGCTTCTAACATTATAATTTCTATTTTGCTGAGATTACTGAAACCTTTGAGTAGGCTTTATTCTCCAGTTTATAGATTGCAGTATTCAGATCGCATACTGACCAGATATAGTCTTTCCGTTTTGTGTGTCTCCTTGTGAAAGTACCACAAAAATGTTGGCGGCCATCTAAAAGGCCATCTGAAGTAGGACACTTGATTGAAATTGCCTTCAGGCCTTTTTCTTTTGTTCACTTAAGTAACTTAAATGTTATATTTGCCAGTCCCCCAGTCAACATATTGACTGCCATGAAAATCTGTCACTAGCTTTTATAGTTAGGTCAGTAGAACATAAAAATGGCATCTTTCAGTCTTGCCCTTTAACATTTAAGAATACACCAAATCAGCATTTCTCAAGATGATTTACATTTTAAGAGAGACAACATATATGAAGTTGTGCTCAAGAGTTAGGTGTGTGGTTATGTGGTCTGCCTAGACATCCATTCTAAAAGCTAGCTTGAAGCACGAGTTCTCGTTTCACACGTAACTTGTCATCCGGTGGTTTCATCTGGTACCTCAGCAAGCATCATTCGAGAAAATCTGCTCCAATAATGAGAATTTGCACGCATCCCACGCACCACTTCCTTGAACTTCAGAATTTTTGTAGCAAAATGTTGAATTTTACAAATGCTCAGCACATGCCAACTAGCGAAGTGATCTGACTTTAAAAGGAAAAGCAGATGAATGGTTATTAATGGTTAGAACAGGGTGAATTTCTGAAAGGAAGCACATTGCTGCAGAAACTTTTGGATGGTCTTATTGAATGTGGATGAATTGTGTTAAGTGGGCTGCTGTAAGGCTGGTTCTGGATACAAATTCACATGTTCCAAACCTAGCTATCCTACCTCTCTAACCTCCAAAAGTTGAATATTATTCACATAC